CCTTGGAAAAGCTTCAGTCTGCCAATCCTTGACTCTGCCGAGGAGGGTTCCGGGCTGGCGGCCTTCCAGGGGGCTCCATGGCGGCCTGCACTCGCTAACAAAAGGAATGCTGTCCAAAGGAGTTGGTTCCCAGGTGTGGCACGAAGTTAGTGAACCAGAAAGAAGGGATTTATCAGCTCTTTTAAAAGCGGAGGAGAAGAGAGAAAGAGGGTTGCGGGTGAGGGAGGAGCCACCCAGACTCAGAACTGACACCTAACCCTACTTCTCTCAGTCGGAACTATGCTTTGCAGTGAAAAGCCTTTACAAGAAAAGTGATGGTCAGATTTCAGCGTGCAGAAAAGGAGGCGAAGCTGAAAGTTCAACTCTTGTGTGGGAACATGGTCTCCAAGAGGTATCTTTCCAGGGCGATGGAATCACCGCCCTATTTTGCTATCTTGGCTGTATTCTCTTTACTGGATTCTCTTCTCTCTGAAGTTCACTCAGAATGGCCTCGTGATTCTTGGAAAGTCGTTGAATTTATTTCGGTAATTAAGTTTATTTTTACACTCACAGTCGTAGTATATAATTTTTAGGGATCGCGTGTTCTAACGTGCTTGCTATTTCAGTGAAATTTAGAGAGAAAGTTTGTGGTCTTAGTGGATGGTCTCGAGAGCTTTTGCCTCAGCCTGGATATTAACTTGGTGCTCAGTACAAATCAATGGAAGTAGGGCACTTTAGGGTACTCATTCCCGGAGGAGTCACTAATGGAATTATCTGTAGTCCTTAAAAAAGTCACAATGAAGCTAATGAAATTTTTCTCTAAGGCACTAAGCTTCGTAACACATTTTATTTATGACATATATCATATGTGATGCATTTTACATACAAATTGTACTCAGAATCTTTGTAAGAGCAATTTGATGTCCAAGAAGACTTTATAGCTTAGGGTCAAGATACTTATGCCAGTACAGAAGTATATATTATATGTCCTCTGAACTTCAGAATCATTCTGGGATGACATTAAAACTTGAGAGAATTTTTTTTTTTTTAATATCAGATACAGATGAAAAAACTCACAGCTTTTGGATTGGAAATAACTTGTGGGGTTTCTCATTAAAGTTGGGTGCAGCTTGCTGCATTTTGGTTAGTTGGATGTCTTCAGCAATTTTTGAAATGTTTTGGGTTTGGCAAAGTCCAAAATGTTTTTGCCAAGACCCTCTTTTCCCCTTATTTTTTAAACCCGTGTGAAATTCAAGGATAACTTAATCCATATGTGTCTGATTCATTTACACTTAACTCATCAAAATGTTATTTTGTAAGACCCATTTAATATCCAAGAAACCTTTTTAAGACAAGTCTTTTGTCTTTGAACCAGCAAGTTGCATTTTTCCATATGAATGGAGGTTGGCCCTCGAAAAAGTGAAGTTTCAGTTGATTTCCAACTTAGAACTTTCACATTTTACATAGACTCTAAATGTGTTGTGTCTACTACTTCAGCATTGAGTGAAGGTCATTTGAAAATTAAGGATGAAAAATTTCATGTTATATATTTCTGGGAATTACCAGGTATAGAAATTTTATCCTTACTAATAAATAAATAAAAATGATTCCTGGTTTGATTGTTTTAATCTCTCATTTAATTGGCTTCATTTTATATAGCTCCATGTATTTTCTAAGTATCTTGGAGTAATTTTATTTGCTTAACTTGTCAAAGTTTTCTTCAAGTTCATTCACTGAATATTAATTTTCATGACAACATCTAAGCGATTTATAAGATGTCCCAAGATCAGAGGAGCAGACAATTGCTAAACGATTTTGGTGAGGGGGTGGGGAATGAAGGATTATATATTTTCTAATGTTTGTTATTTGAAAGAATGTGATAGAACTATGAAGCTGGCACCCCCAAAATAGCAATATCTGAAAGATACAGTTCAAGAACACAAATTCAGAAAGACCACATGGATCCCAAGTTGGGGGTGGGGGCCAAGCAGCAACAGCAGCAGCAGTGAAATCTCTACTGCCTTTAGTAAATAAAGGGATCTGGTGAAAACCTTCAGGGGCCCTGCCCCTGTTTGTTCAGTAGGACTGGGCAAAGACAGGCTATTTCCTTAACTGCTGGTGAACATCCAATCCATGCCATGGTAACTAGTTGAAAATGTTGTACTGGAGTGGCATGCCCAAGTTCAGCGCTTCCATAAAGACCTGCTAGGACACAGAATGCTTTTTTAATGTTCTGCATTGTTGTGCATCCCCCGTGGAATGAGCGGGACCCCATTTTTACTAATGTAAACATTCTGACGAGTAGCCAAAGAAATGACCTTTGAGTGAACCTCTAACCTTCCCCGTAATTATTTGTTTGAAGACAGTGTGGAGTTCCCCTGCTGAGAACTAAGAACCATGATGCCTTGCAGCTCTGTGAGTAAGGGAGTGTTTGGGAGAACTGGAGAGAAAGACGTAAATAAGGGAACAACCTCCAGATGTAAATAATAAAAGAATAAAAGGGTGAAATTAAGAAGGGGGGAAAGTAGCAATTCATTTCACCTAAAGAGCTGGCCCATAGACAAAGACAATAGGGCTTCGCTGCCCATAAACAGAGGTTCCAAGCCCGTGCCATGTGTCTCTGGTGTTGGAAACCTGGAGAGAAAAGGTTTCACTGGCTCTTCTGATCACCTCAATCGATCTTCACTTGAGCTGATTTAAAGAGTTCCTGGGAGGTAATCCCAATAAATGCAGTGGAGAAAGAAAAGCTACTTCAATTCCTCTTCCGAACTGAGGATGCTTCTGGAAGCCGTGATCGTTTGGTCAGATAGCCCTGGGTAACACGCAAAGTGGAGGGTTGGCAATCTAAGTGCAATTTCAACTCCTGTGCTCACTCACCTCTCCTGAGCCTGTCATTTCTTCCCTGCATGCCGAGGGCGATGCAGCAGGTTTGACAACTGAACTATACTTTCTTAAGTCGTGGAGAACTTCGTGTTTTTCAAACAAACACCATATGCAAAAGACTCCTTCAGCTTTCTGGTGGCTCTTAAGTCATCAGCCTAATTGTATACCCACTAGAGAGCTCATAGGGGGCACAGACCAGTGTGTGGGCTGGCCAGCCTCGGCCTCGGAAGGGAGGTCAACTTCGTAGGAATGCAAAGCCTGACAACAGACACTGGGATTTTTCTGCCTAATTTCAAAGAATGGATTTTCAGTTCCTGCCTGTGGCTCCACTCAGGCTCGTTCATCACGAAGCCCCCTAGAACGTACGATTTAAAATGGGAAATATTGAAAAGTGTCCTATTTTCAAGGGACCACTAAGCTACCCTGTTTCCCCGAAAATAAGACAGTGTCTTATATTAATTTTTGCTCCCAAAGACGCGCTAGGTCTTATTTTCAGGGGATGTATTATTTTTCCATGAAGAAGAATACGGTACACATTTATTGTTTTTTGTTTTATTAAAAGAGACCTCGCACTTCCTGTCTGCTCCGGCTGTGCTGTGGCCAACAGTGAGCTGTGCCCGCCACTAGAGTCCAGAGTTACGGTAGCTTCGGGGGGCCTTAATTTCGGGGAGGTCTAATTTTCGGGGGGTGCCTTATATTTCAGCGAGAGTCAAAACTGTAAGTAGGTCTTATTTTCAGAGGATGTCTTACTTTCGGGGAAACAGGGTAGATGAGGAGGCTTCAAAGTACTAGGAAATATGTGGGAAAATACTAGAATCTCTTTATTTCCACTTTCCCATGAACATTTTGAAGCTCCCTGGGAGAATGTGTTCGACAGCTCCCCTCTGCTTAGCCCCTTCAAAAGACACTGCCCATGAATCCTGTGCGGACGCTTCACAGTCTGGGGGCATCCATGGCATAAAATGTGGAGGGACAAGAACAACATCCGTAAACAGAACCACTGCCCTGGTCTCGTTTCCAATTGACAGCCCCTAGGTTACAAATCTTTACGGAAGCCGACTGCACCATCCTTCTCCTGTGTAATGAGTGACTGCTGGCTTCAAACCCGTGGACTTTGGGGTTCCCAGCCAAAGGACTTCAACCACCACCCTACCAGGGCTTCTAGAGGGACAGCGGTGACTCTCAAATGGTTGAAAATTGTCTTGTTTTTATTAACTTTGGAGAAAGAAGGGTGATTTCTTATCTTACTCTGTTTGTCCATGAATATTTGATGGGCATTATTAAGCATTAAATTAACATGAAGTAGGCACTTATTTTTGGATTTCCAACCAAATTAGATCCAGGCTTCCTAGATGAAATAACTGCTTCTCTTTACATTCCTGGGATTCAGCCACCACCTGATTTGAAAATGTTTCTTTGGGCTCTAATATCAACCATGTGTACCTGAGGCTCTGTCTTTGCAGTGGGTTGAAAGGTGGCTGGGTTTATGGTTGGCAGTTACCTTATCCTCTGCCCTGGGTGTCCCAGCTTAGGTTAGAAAGGCTGCCCCCAACTGGCACTGACCTCTAAATGACCCCTAACTTTACAGGCTTAAACTGCAGGAGTTGCCGAAGAGCAGAAGCCATTCTGGCCAGCACTTATTACTGCTGTGTTGGTGATAAAACTTCAGACAGCCTAATTGATGGCTTTGCTGACCTAACAATACCTTGTGAAAGCAGAGTGCCAGAGCCTGGTCTCCATTTATGACCAGCTGCAAGGGGACGCTGGGTCTCCCTGCGCTCAGGACTTTAGGGAAAGGGGGCGGGGCGGGGTGGGGGAATCCTCCAGGCTGTGAACTTTAACTAGATTCCTACATGTTTAAGAAGCAGAAGTGCAATTACAGATTAATAGAAGTTTGGTTGCAGGACTTTTTCTTTTCCCTCCCCGAGCCATGCTAGCAAATTGACTTGGAGTTTGCCTATTGATGGAGATCATCCAGTCAACTCGTTTTTGAACCCTTGGGGGGAAAATTGCCTTTAAATTAAACAGATCTCTCTCTACATGCTGCGCTGTGTTGTATTCTCTGCAGCAGTCATGAAAAGGTGTTCACAGAGCACAGAAATTGTGTTTGATGACTGGACTTGTCTCTTCTGTTCCAGGTTTATTAATGCCCGGAGGAGAATAGTACAGCCCATGATTGACCAGTCAAATCGAGCAGGCAAGTTCCAACTAGTATCCATGTTTAAGGTCCACAGGCACAAATCCTCATCAAGTTCTTCTTCGGGAATTTCATCACCTGGCAAATAAATGCTTCCACCAGGAATTCTGGGAGATTTTCTTTCTTTCTTACCTTCCCCAGAATTCCTCTCTAGGAAGCAACTTCACTAATTGGTGCTAATTGGAGATTTCCCACCCGGACTCTACTGAAACTGCTTTTTATATTCTTTCTGAATTGGTAATTGGGCACAAGTATTAGTGCCACAAGCAGTTTGTTTGACTGTGAGCTCTGGAATTACTCATTGCTTGTCTGCCTCCAATCATTAGCACACTCTCATTTTCTCGCTACCCATAACTCTTTGGTGTGTGCCTTGCTTTCACTCCCATAGCATTCATTCCCTGTTAAACTCATTGTATCTATTCATTTGCTTGACTTTTCATCAGATGCTATTAAAGTCTGACTTGCTGCATTGCCAGCATTTTTTT